AAAACAAGCCAGAGAGGCTAACCGTGAGATTAGTGTGCATTCACATTTTCGCAACAGTTGAGCAATGATCTCTCCGGTTACGTCGTGGATGCGCGTCCACTGGGATGTTCTATCTTGGGCCGTGCCACCATGGGACTTAGCCGACTAGCGTTTAACCATCGACGATGTAGAATGAATTTCGCTGAATAATGAGGAAGTCACTTGGTGAAATAAAAAGTAGTAGGACCTTCAAATGATGCTACAGTTCGCTGCAGTGTCGCCACGCTGCAGGTGGATTAGGGAGATATCATGAGAGGTCTAAAAGGTATAACTAAAAAAAAACAGGATAAGTAGTAGGTAGAGTCGGACAAAATGAAGTATGTTGATAAATTTGGGTATTGCTTATTTCTAAATAAATGTCGCCATCTATTTCACAATGCCGTACGGTCTTGAATATTTACATTTTTTTTATCTACTGGCTAATTAATGTCAATTTTCTCTAGGGTCATGGACTTATCGATGGTCATTGTTTGTTGCCAACATCAATTAAGATTGATGGCCCACAAACCAAAAAAATATTATGGTCTTTCAACATTTAACCAAGATTATCATTTCACCATTAATCTCTCGGCAAGAAAACCATCAGTTTTCTGGCAGTTAACTGTTGAAGAATGTCTATTACTTTTTGTCGAGTCCGAATGAGGACGAAGTGCGTTCCCAAAAAAACAACGGTAATTGAACTTTTATAAGTCACCTCAGAGCGCTGGTGTTAGTCTGTGAACTTTTGAGATACTAGCTCTAAACTAGTTCTGTTACTCTAGGATATAGCCCCGTAAGTGATAATTGCTCTCACTATTGCTGTATACATCCATCGCAGTGTGTTCTGGTTGCATCCCCATCTTTTACTCGCAATGTTTCTTCATACCATTAGGGCTGTTGTGGCCTTTTTAACAACTTTCTTTTCATGCACTGTAAGTAACTAGTAATGGAAAAGTACTTTGATAGAAAAAAAATTGTTTAAATATAAAACGTTGATTGTGACAATTGAAGAAAAATACAAAAGACGTAAAAGTATAAAATTTGTAGAAAAACTAACCATATTCTTTATTTCACTAGGGTAAAAACTAATAAGTGCATTATAGACAATATAACATAAAAAACAATAGAGAATTTTTATGTGAACTAAAATATTTTGGTAAGTAGGTTAGGAGACGTCAGAAAAAGTCCAGACATGTCCGATATTCACCGCAAGTAATAAATTGTCTGAAATTTTTGGGAACATTATCAAACAGTTTCAGGTACCTATGGTTAGGTTAGGTTGAAAATAAGTGGAATGATCTCATCGCCTTCCACTGCGCCTCAGATGGGTCTATTGTGACTCATGACTAACTTATAGTTCACCGTACAAGCCACATTTTTGATAAAGGTCATGGTTGAATTGGGTGATCTTTAAAGTCGGTAGGCTTCATTCGGGTAAATCAGAAGATCTGGAACCTGGTTCTTTCCAGAGCGGAGCAGGTATATAAAATGTGCTCTGCAGACTTGTCCTCCATGCTGCAGAATCGACATTCCGATGTTTGTTGCAGACCTATCCTTCTCATGTGGTTGTCCAAACGGCAGTGTCCTGTCATCAGTCGAGTAAAAAGGCGTAGATCTTTCCTACTCCATTCTCGGATCTAAGCAGAGGCGTTCATAGAAGGGTTGGTTATAAACGCCTTCGAGTGGGTTAGCCCTGAGGTATCCCTCCAGTTCGTGAGTGTTGCACCCTCCGTCCATTTTGAGATAATTGCTTTGGCAGTGCTTTTTGCAATGCCCAGGAATGGTTCTGGTCCTATAAACACAGATTCGGTTCCTCTTTTAGCAAGTGCGTCGGCTTTTTCGTTGCCCTCCACACCATTGTGTCCCGGAACCCTATACTTAAAATCCCGTATAAATAGTTTTTTGAATATGGCAATCCTACTCCTAATATTCTTTTTTAATAATTCGGTACATTTTCTCCAACGCCCTAAGATACTAGAATTTTCATCTTTAATTATTTTATTGCACTAATTTCTGCAAATATTTTAATGTTTGCTCATTGTAAGTAGAATAACAATTCCTTCAATAAATAAAAACAGAGTTGAATTTCTTTATTTATTTTGGGTTTAAAATTTTGAAAATAATTTTATTATGGAAGTGATTGCCTTCAAAACAATTTTTTGTTATACAGAGTGTCCAAGCATTTAGTTTACATGATCTAACTGTTTATCCTGTATATTTATTTACTTTTAAGAAATCTATATTGATTGTTAATAATTCCATCTTGAAGAGCACTCCGTTTAATTTTATACCCTCGTTGACGAAATTGGTTTCGCGTTGTTGTGACTACAAGTGAAAGAGATTGGTTAAAGTGTTTTTTATGTGAAATTATCAGAGATTCAGTAACTTATTTACCCACTGTGCCTGTGCATAGATACCTATTTGTTCATAATAGTAAATATACCCATTTAAAAATTGTTAAATTTAAATTTTAACAAATTTAGAATCTTAAATAATATATACGTCCTATAGAAAATATATTGCACCTAAGTGATTTAACCTGTGCAATGAACAATATAAAAAAAAATTAAAATAAATCTAATATGAATCGCCATGTAACATTAATATGCCAAAATAATATATCCATCTTTGACAACATTTTATAATAATCCGTCTAAGTACTCTCTATTATCGTATATGTATTTTCTACATTGATAAACAGATTTTTTACAATTTTTTATAGTTTTGACTTGAAGCAAAGTATTAAATATTTTTGGAGCCACAATGGAAACAAATCTTTGGTTAGCATCATATCTTTTAAAAAGTACTATTAACATATTATTAATTTTATTTCTTGTCTGATAGTAATGATTTATATAATTTTTGGTTTTAGATTTATAGCAAAAAATACTAAGGCACTACAGGCATCGAACATTCAAAATACTCGCATTATATAAAGAGGGGTTATACTCGGACAAAATATTGAAGAAGGTGATTCCTTCCTGTTCACGTACAACAATCATACTATACCAGAGCATAATGAATGGAATCACGCGCTTAAAACTGCAGAAGTTACAGGAATTACGTATCAACTAGTCAATAATGCATGTTTATTGATAAAAGAATTACGCCAGTGGCGTATAAAAACTATTGGCAAATTAAATGCGGTAATAGTAAATAATATTATATGAAAGTAGGTTAGTTATATTTATATTTATAATTTTGTTTTGTTTATTGTAAAAATATGTAAATATTATGCCAGTGGCGTAGAAACACTATTGAAAAATTAAATGGGGTATTATACTAGAACAAAATATTGAAGAAGGTGCGCCTTAAAACTGCAAAATGTATCGTTATCATATCAAAATGCACTCTTCCAGTGTCGCAGAAATACTATATTGGCAAATTAAATGGGTATTTTCAATATCACTAGATGAAAGTAGGTTGGTTATCTATTTTTGTTATAATAATTCATCTATGTTTATAATTGTATTTTGTTTATTATAAAAATATGTAAATTAAGCTTGGTATCACTTACTTAAATTCTAAATCTATGAAGTTTCGTAATCCATTGATTCTGCAGAACTCTCACTGGAATCGTCTTTATCGTCGGAACTTAAAGTTATGACTAAAGATTCAACTACCGTTTTGATCATACCGTCCGAGCGCCACATATTATTTTCTTCCTTAATTACATGGGAAATTTTAAGGTGAAGGGGGAGAAAAAGTCCTTTATATCTCACAAGGAAAGTCAATGTTTAATTATTTAACAAAACATTGAGTGCGACCGGTTTCGAAGTGTCATCACTTTATCTTCAGGCTCGCCTAGTGGAAAGGAGAATATGTGGTGTAAGGTGTGTTAACACTTAGAGCAAACGATATATAAATTAGTAAAAAAGAGAAAACTCACCATACTCTCCATCCACTAGGGAATACTACAAAACAAGTTTCATCAAATGTGGGGTGAAATAAATTGTAAAATTGTAAAATGAACAAAGTTTACAAGTAATAAAAAGTTAAAAATATTTGAAAAACAAATATTAGTCAATTGGAATAGTAAAATTTAAAATATTCAAGACTATACAAAACAAATCACATACATTAAACAGATTAAAAGATAAGGCTTATTTTAAACAACCTTGTTTTTTCAAAAAACTAACATTTTTGACAGGTCTCCTTTCAAAAATGTTAGTTTTTTGAAAAAACAAGGTTGTTTAAAATAAGCCTTATCTTTTAATCTATTTAATGTATGTGATTTGTTTTGTATAGTTTTGAATATTTTAAATTTTACTATTCCAATTGACTAATATTTGTTTTTCAAATATTTTTAACTTTTTATTACTTGTAAACTTTGTTCATTTTACAATTTATTTCACCCCACATTTGATGAAACTTGTTTTGTAGTATTCCCTAGTGGATGGAGAGTATGGTGAGTTTTCTCTTTTTTACTAATTTATATATCGTTTGCTCTAAGTGTTAACACACCTTACACCACATATTCTCCTTTCCACTAGGCGAGCCTGAAGATGAAGTGATGACACTTCGAAACCGGTCGCACTCAATGTTTTGTTAAATAATTAAACATTGACTTTCCTTGTGAGATATAAAGGACTTTTTCTCCCCCTTCACCTTAAAATATAAGGAAATATTTAGTTTTATTTAAATTAGGATTTATTAGTAAAAAGAAAATATTTATTTGAATATTAATAGTTAAGAAAGCATTATATATAATTTATTTAATAAATATTTACTTACGCACAGTAAATGGTTTGTTTATATTAAAATTATATAGATTAGGCCATATCCAACATACTTATATATTAACTGTTATTAAATATATAATAGTAACAAATTTTTCTCACAGTGTATAATTTTGAAATCGCAATATAAGTAATAATTTATAATAATATTTGTTAAGGGAAAGATTATTAACTTTTTTTTCAGACTGTCATTAAAAACATAAATTTCATATGTTTATTGTACTAAAGATTTTATTGTAGTAACATGAACATTAAAACTAGTTACGTGTAAATGATTATTAATATTTGCATAAATACATAGATAAAGACTACAAACCCAATTATCAGTCTATTATATTGTTTTTAAATTTGTTAGTGAGGTATTTGGTGATACCTACATACAAATTTGTATCACCGATATAGACTATGACCTATTATTAATTTGTTTCATTATGATTTTTTTGGGTATTGTTATTTTCGGCATATTTCTCGTTGGCACAATTGCCATTCAAGACGATTCGGTGGCAGTAGTTGAAGTAAGTACAATTTGTATTACTTATTTCTATAAAACCTGTTCTATACAGATTTGATAAATTCTCAATGTCAAAAAATAATACTTTTCTAACTTAAAATTAAACTAAGAAGCTTAATAAACTGTTAAATTAAAATAAAAAAAGAAAAGGCATTCTTAACCCTTTAATTATATTTAGTAAAATGATCTTTATAATAACCTTTGAGTGAATCATTAAGCCATTTAGCTGTGAGGTAAGTTGGTGAATTCACGAATGATACTACTGGACGTATGGGCATATCTTTAAAATCATCTGATTCATGTATTTTTAGAAGGCCATATAAACGTAGCATTAACTTATGATCTGGTTTAAATCTGTTAAATAAAGACTCTGTTATCAAGGATTTACTATTTTTGAGAACATTTTTAAATTTCAAATTATATTTATTGAGAGGGTTAGTAATTTTTTCAAAATCGTTATTATCAAGAAAGGTATATACTTTAGAAAGGTAATCAAATTTATTTAAAATTACTAAACAATTACCCTTATCTGCTTTAGTAAAGATTATATCATTATCTTTGATCTTTTTAGAAATGTTTTTTATCAACTGGTCATTAGAAGTGTCTGTACCAAGTTTATTAGTTTTAAGTAATGATTCTTTTTCTTTTTTAAAAACGTTGATTAAACTGATTCTCAATTCTTCTTTGTTTTCTAAGGTAGTATTTTGAAGAATTGATTCAGTTTCCACTGTTAATAGTTCAAGATCTTTTTTATTAGAGATTAGATCAGAAGTAGTAGGGTTGAATTTAATGCCTTTTTTTAAGTAGACTAAGCTCTTTTTCTTCAAAATTAACGTTAGAGAAATTTAGTAAGGAAGTGTGAAATTTATGAGAATCATTATTTAACATGTTATTAGTGTTTAGGTTGTTATTGTGAAATTTCTTTTTTAAATTAAGTAATTTGTTATTAAGTGATTTCATTTTGTTTATTCTTAGGAAGTGTATTGAATTATGTAAATTTCCAAGGAAATTGTTTAATATATAAAAATGCCAAACCTCTTTTAGTCGATCGTATGTATGTTTTAATTGTATGTCTATGACATATAGTTTCCTATATAAAGATCTAATTTCGTCCTGTATTAGAAATACTTTCAGTTTCTGTAGACATCTCCTACTGCTTTGTATTAGATGTTCTCTGCTGATTTTGACAGTAATATATGTTGGAATAAGATTTCTTGCTAGGCAACGATTGTTGAAGAAAATACTGCATTCTGTCTTCATCCTCCTGGTAGATAATGTTCTATAGCTTTTGGCTAAAGTTGCTGGACTGGCAAATTGATTAAAGTTGAAGGTGGTAGCCATGTGTGAGTTATATGTTCAAAAAAGAGGTAAATAAAACAAGGGTGGTCCTTAAGATCTCACAAGAGTAATTTAATACGACCGTTTTCGAGGAGATCAGATCCTCATCATCAGGTATGGTCTAAAATAGATAGGTAAAAACGAATGAGCTCATAACTAATAAAATGGGTTTAAAAAATTATGAAAGTTGTCAAATATCAAGAACTCACCCGTATTACTCATCTATTTAAGACTAAGCTTAGAGATTATCACAGGGTCGGTGTAAAAAACAAGTATGCGAGTATTTTTTAAGAAATGCATAAAAACAGTAGTTGCAACAAAAAGTTGATGTCAAAACACAAGTAGGTCTAAAACTATTAATTAAAATTATTAAAATATTTCACGAACGGACATACATTAAGACAAAACAAATTTAAAACTTTTTTAAACCCTACAAGAACTAAAATGGGCTCTTAGACAACATAAAGTGTTTATAATTCTGAAGGTATAATTTTTTATTTTAGATTAAAGATACTAATTAACGCCCTCTAGATATAAATAGACGAATTAACAATTCTAATATTTAAGAAAAACAGTTTAGAGGTTGTCAGATTTAAATATTTTGACATCGGCTAATAGATGGCGTTGGAGAAATAAATGTTTCTTAAGGTGAGTTCGGGCTGCGCACTCCAGAGTGGAGTGGAGTAATTAGGCGTAAACGGAGTGCGAATATGATTTTACGCCTTTAACTCTCGGAGTGCAATGTCAGTTGTCAATGTGACATACCAGTACTTAAAATTTAATCGTACTTATCAGTAACGACCGTATAAGTTTCTTCCATATTAATGATATTCACGGGAACCAAAAAAAAACTTATTTACTGAAGAATCAGTCACAATTAACTTATTATCGATTTAAATCACCTTATGCGCATGCCCGATCCACACTCCACTCCACCATCTCCGAACGGTCAAAGAGGAACTTTTATTTTAACTCCTTCCGTACCCGAACGCCTTAGGTACTTTAGGAGTGAATATAGTAAAAAGAGTGCGTAGACCGAACTCACCATTAATTAATAATATAGGTTTTAAAATGAATTATTTGAATTTGTATGTAATAATAAGATTTTAAAGATATGCCCATACGTCCAGTAGTATCATTCGTGAATTCACCAACTTACCTCACAGCTAAATGGCTTAATGATTCACTCAAAGGGTATTATAAAGATCATTTTACACGCACAGTAAAAAATAGCCTAGTGTTAATAGATAATATCAAGGATACTCATATCAACGAGACCGATATGCTAATTTCATTAGACGTGTCGAACCTTTTTACTAACATCCCTATTCCAGAAGTCTTGTCTTTGATTAATTCTTTTTTGTCAAACTCTACTTTATCAGATTTAGAACTAATTGAATTCACCAATCTACTTAAAATATGCTTAGATCAAAATTTCTTTGTGTTCAATGGAGAAATTTTTTCACAAAAAACTGGTTTAGCTATGGGTTCCCCTTTGAGTCCCATATTGGCAGACATATTTATGCATAACTTTGAAAAAGACAATATCTTAGACAACAATAATTTTTGCCAATCAATCAAATTTTACTATAGATATGTGGATGATATTTTAATACTATGGACTGGTAACAAAGACTTGAATGATTTCTTGTCTCATGTTAACACTCTACATACCAACATTAAGTTTACTTTAGAAACCGAAGTAGATAAATCTATAAACTTTTTAGATTTAAATATATCCCATAACAATGACTCTAAATTAAGTTTTGATATCTATAGAAAACCCACTCATACAGGAGTAGTAATAGATAATTTGTCTAATCACCCCATCTCGCATAAATTAGCTTCCTTCAATTGTTATTTAGAACGTCTATTACGAGTACTACAATAGAGAACTTAACACAATAAAAAACATAGCTCATCTACACAATTATGATCACAGTTTAATCGATAAAATGTTGAGAAAAAAACAAAATAGAATTATTCAAAATACAACATTTATAACTAACCCTATAACTGTAGAGGCTAGCATTAGCAAGTATATGTCACTTACCTATATTGGAAATATTTCTTATAAAGTCTCCAATATCCTCAAAAATCACTTCAAAATTTCTTTTAAATCCTCCAACTCAATTAGTAACTTTTTCATCAAGAATAAAGATAAAGTGGACATCATGGATCAACCAGGCATATATGAACTCAGTTGTAAGTCTTGCCCAGCCAAATATGTAGGTAGAATCTTTCGTAATTTTAGGACTAGACTTAAAGAACATTTAAGATGTTTGAATACTGCCACAACCGGCTTTGACTCAGGGGATGGCTTTAGGGTACTCCACATTTGCCACAACAAGTTGATATTGAATAATTTAGAGAACCTAGAAATATTTAGATTAAGAAAAAGTACCAATGCATTATCACTAAACTCACAAGTCTTTTCCGAATCCACACCCACGTTCTCAGTTCTTTTTTAAAAATCTACGTTTTCCCTTAAATTACCCCCCTTTTACTTTAAAATCTCCCTATGAAATTCTATTGACTTTAATTATTAGTTATACTTATCTTATCTATTCCCTATTTTTACTCTGTCTCCATTTCCATTTTCATTTTTCAGCACATTACTTCAAAAAACAACTAACCAAATCAATAGTTTTCTCTTTTTTTCGTTTTCTCTTTCTTTCTTTCCTTTAATACCACTTTCCTTCATTTTTCCGTTGATATGTTACCAACTTCTTAATTTGAACATTAAGTACATCTAAAAATTATTTTCCGACGCTAATGCTAGACTCTACGTGTAACAATAATAATTAATTTATTTCATTTTGTTTATTATTACATACAAATTCAAATAATTCATTTTAAAACCTATATTATTAATTAAGAAACATTTATTTCTCCAACGCCATCTATTAGCCGATGTCAAAATATTTAAATCTGACAACCTCTAAACTGTTTTTCTTAAATATTAGAATTGTTAATTCGTCTATTTATATCTAGAGGGCGTTAATTAGTGTCTTTAATCTAAAATAAAAAATTATACGTTCAGAATTATAAACACTTCATGTTGTCTAAGAGCCCATTTTAGTTCTTGTAGGGTTTAAAAAAGTTTTAAATTTGTTTTGTCTTAATGTCTGTCCGTTCGTGAAATATTTTAATAATTTTAATTAATAGTTTTAGACCTACTTGTGTTTTGACATCAACTTTTTGTTGCAACTACTGTTTTTATGCATTTCTTAAAAATACTTGCATACTTGTTTTTTTTACACCGACCCTGTGATAATCTCTAAGCTTAGTCTTAAATAGATGAGTAATACGGGTGAGTTCTTGATATTTGACAACTTTCATAATTTTTTAAACCCACTTTATTAGTTATGAGCTCATTCGTTTTTACCTATCTATTTTAGACCATACCTGATGAGGATCTGATCTCCTCGAAACCGGTCGTATTAAATTACTCTTGTGAGATCTTAAGGACCACCCTTGTTTTATTTACCTCTTTTTTGATTACCTAGATGATCCAAGAAAGCAGTTAATTTGCGTATTTTGGCCGGGAAACTTCTAACAATAGGTATTCCTGAGAGAATAACGACTAACATCATCATGCTTTATGAAAATAGAAATTTATATTTAAAAATAAATGGACAGATTAGTGCTCCTAAATCAACTTCCCTCGGTATACCTCAAGGTAGTATTCTAAGTCCCCTTCTTTTTATATTATATACATCAGATTTTAACTTCATTATGCAACCCCAGACAAGAGTGCTGCAATTTGCAGATGATTTCTGTATATATTCTGAAAAAAAAATCAATTGAAAATACAATAGTAGATTTACGAATAGCATCTGAAAGGGCCACACGTTGGGCAAGAAGAAATGATTTCAAAATATCTCAAGAGAAATCAGTTATATGCACTTTCACTCGTCATCGGTACCAGCCACCCACTCATTTTAATTTAGGTCCACTTACGATTCCATGAAAATCATCTGTTAGATATCTTGGGGTAATGCTCAATCAAAAATTATCCTGGAAAGATCACATTAATCATCTCGTTAAAAAAAGTGAGAATGCTATAAATATACTTAAAGCCTTCTCAAATACCAAATGGGGAGTGGATCCAAACATAGCCCTGATATTCTATAAAGCTCTCATCCGTTCAGTGCTTGACTATGGACGTGTACTATATGGAAATGCTCGTTTGAGTCAACTACAAAAAGTGGAAGTGATTAAAAATAAAAGTTTACGATTATGCCTAGGAACTTTACAAAGTACTCCTGTATATGTATTAGAAGTAGAAGCAGCAGAACCACCACTAGAGATTAGAAGAGAATACTTAAGCAATATTTTTGTATCCAAATTACTGTCTCAAAACCGTACTAGAGAGCTGCAAGAACTAGAAGCTAAAATAAATTATCCATATTGGAGACGTAAGAAGAAACCTCTTTTAATATCAAGTTTACATCGACTAAATAATATTCAGACCTTCCTTTATAAAAACAACAAACTTCCTTGTTATAACATAGAATAAAATCTTCTTTATCTTCAACTACAACTACTACCTTCAGTCAGATCACATGCAGTGCCAGATCATCATAAACCACATTACTAACAATACCATAAGTACCAGATGGCCAAACGCAGAATATATTTATACAGATGGATCAAAAATTGAAGACAAGACTGGATGCGCTTTATACCATTCCAACGACAATGTATCACGGATGTTTAAATTACCATCTCAAATGTCCATTTATACGGCAGAACTTATAGCAGTATTAGAAGCAGTAAAATACGCCAATAATCATAATAAATCAAATTTCGTAATTTTAGCGGACAGCAAAAGCGTTATTGATTCTTTAAAAAATATACAAATTTCAAGTACATTACCAGTAGTAATAATGAAGATTTTAGAAACAGCTAGAATTCTCCTAACTATGAGGAAGACCTTTTCTTTGGTTTGGTTCAAAGGCCATCAAGGTATCATAGGTAATGAAAAAGCAGACCAGTTTGCAAAATTAGCTACAAACTCTGGAATACTATTAGATGAACCACTAATGCCATCCTTGGATTTAAAATATTTTTTTAAGAAAAAACAATTAGAAAGATGGCAAGAATTATATTCCAACTCAATAGTAGGAATACGGTTTCGAGAGATAAATCCCAAAATTAGTACAGAGCCATGGTTTATTGATATTTCAAATCGGCATATGATTAAAACTATAAATAGAATAAGATGTAAACATGGGTTATATCCTGAACACAAATTTAAGATAGGTTTGGCAGATTCCCCATTCTGTAGTTGTAGGCAATTGGGTAATTTACAACATTTAATCTTTAGCTGCCCTAATTTTCAAAATCTAAATGAAGAATTTTACAAGAACCTGCAATTAACAGGAGCAACACTCCCCACCAACTTAGATGCGCTTTTATGTTCAAAAAATATAAAACTGTACTATGTTATATATGAACATTTGAAAAAAATGAATCAATATATTTAAAAAAAAAATACATATATAATAAAAAAAAAAAATTAATAAAAACAAAACAAAAAAAAAAGAAAAAAAAAAGAAAAGAAAAAGAAATATATATATATATATAAAAAGAATTCGTCTCCTAAAATATAATTATGTATAATTAATTGTATCACAACTGTTTTAACTGTTGTTTAATTGTTAATATGATGAAAATTTTGTACTTTTAATAGCTTTTAGGTTCCTTCATTATTAATCATTGTATTGTTGTAATTTGTGAAAATTGTAAGTAGGTTTAGATTCGTTTTAATAACATTAGCGCTGGCCAATTGATCTGAGATCAAGGCCATCATACAAAACACACACATACAAGCACTTTTGTGCAATGTTGTTTTGAAATTTAAAACCTACTTGATGAAACAAAATTTGATTTTTCTCGAAAACGGTGGACTTTAGAGCATATGACCATAGTATCTTTTTGTGTAGAAAACATTGGCGGTTTAAATGGGCGTCTCAAAACCGTACTTTTTTCAGTATCTCGAAAATAGTGCATTTTAGAGGGTAAGTTAAAAAAAAACTTTTTTCATATTTTTGGACGATCTATCACGTCCTAAAGTCCTGCGCATATATTATGAAACACCCTGTATATAAATCTTGTATATGAAAAATTCCTCTTATTCCTTCATTATTCATATATTTTAATATATAACTATTTTCCATTTTCTTATTGTCCACTATAAATGGCCCTTCAAACGGAAACACCAGTCTCACACATATCCTTTTTTATTATTTAATATTCTTAGTGCTCTAACAGTTACTAAATCCATTGATCTATCTATCCCTATTTTATTAATTTTACCTATTCAATTTTTAAGTTCCCAGATAATTTTAAATTTCCCTTTCATCCCCCAATCAAATTTTACTACTTTTCTTTTTCTGTGAATCTTCTATTCTTCATTATCTTCGCCAATTCTTTCATACATTTTATTTTCGTTTTCGTTTCAAAAATTTTTTTTAAATTAACTTTAATTTTTAGACTTTTATATTTCTTTTTTCTTTCTTCGTTTTGTTTCCTGTTTTTCTCTATCTTATTTCTTGCTTTCTTTCTGAATTCTTTTCCATTTATTTTTATTTTATTTTTCTTATCTTGCCTTTTATTTTCCCCTTTATTTTGTTTCCTAATTTGCTTTATTTTCTTCCTCGACTTTATTTATTTTTGATTTTTCAATTTTAAGTTTACTTTTAACACTATCAACACTTTGTTCAATAACAATTATTTTTCTTTTTATTTCATTTCTTGATGCTTCTTCTATTGGGAGGATTTATTTTCTATATTTCCTATCACTTCTATTCTTACATTTTTCTTCATTTCTTCAATTTTTACATCTATTTTCAATTCTAATTCTTCAAATTTCTTTATTAGTTCTTCTGTTTCTTGTTTCCTGTTTTCTTCCATATTATCCAATTTATTAAATATTTTCATAAAGTTTTTCTTTATCTCCATAGACAATGTTTCATTGTTTTTCTTCATTTCCATAGACATTAGTTCATTATTTTTCTTCATTTCCATATACATTGTTTCACTGTTTTTCTTTATTTCCATTATTGCCGCAAATATGCTCCTTAAAATTTCCTCGTCTTCCATTGTTCCAAACTTCATCATGTACATTATTATTATTAAACCACTATAGTATCTATTTTCTTTAATTTTCATTTTGTTTTCTAAAATGAATAGAGATTGTTTTTATCGGGTTTCTTAATTCATAACAAAACGCTTAACTATCCAAGCCATGAAGCCTTAATTTCAAATAAACTCTACAGTCAATGCATTCAATGTATATTGAATTTAGAATTTGTTTTCCATTTTTTTTAGATTCAACTAATATTCTTCTCAGTGAACAAGTTATACATTTTCCATTAATTTGAATATTATACGTACAAAGTTGTGTTAGTTCTGTTGAAATCGCATGATAAATAACAGACTTGTGCTACCTTGATATTTAATTAAAAAAAAAACTATTTGATCGAATTAACTTGTTACTTCACACATCATTTTCACAAAAAAAAGGGAAAACATTATAATAAATAACATATTTGTAAAATAATAGGTTTAAGCTAGCACAACTTTTAATTAATCAAAATATACACATAGCTTAATATAGCTGTCATATTTTGTGAAAACTCAAATGATGTTATTTAATTTTGTATGTAAATAATTTGAATTTACCTTTTCCAACAAATATTACTTATTTCCTTTTTACATTTAATAAAGAAGTATACGACTTATTAGTACAATTATTAAGCAAATGTCATATATGGAATTAAAACAAAAGAAAGAGATTATTGATAACCTTGACAACAACTTTTAATTTTTCTGTGGTAAAAAGACAAAAGTCTAATACTAATTTTACAAAAAAAAAGTTAGTTTGTTATTGAGATATCGTTGAAAAGATGGTAAATTTTAACTGCTTCAAACGGTATACATTGTATTTTATGTACTTATTTATGGGAATATCCAATAATGACGGTATTTATTGGTAATATTGAGTTTTTAGGTAACAAACTTTAAATATGTGTTTACAGGTTTTTAGACATGGACACAGAACACCCATTGTATTTTATAAAACTGATCCATATGCCGACAAATCATTTTGGAGCGGACTAGATTTAGGTCAATTAACTAATGTAAGTTTTTGAGTGTACTCATATTCTCACTATAGCAATCATAACGGAATATTGATAGTTTAAATTTGATTTTTTACTTTTTTAAGCAAGGAAAGCGTGAAATGTATGACCTGGGACAGTTAACTGCTCAAAGATACCGCCAATTCTTACCACAACCCTATGATAAAAATAACTTTTACGCTCGTTGTACAGATATGGATAGAACACTTATGTCAGGACAGTGTTTTCTTTACGGCCTCTTTCGATCTTCGAGTCAACAAGTTTGGCTCAAAGATTCAGATTGGCAGCCTGTTCCACTTCATCCTGCTGATCCAAAAGTGTTCCTTGGATTTCCCTTTCCTTGTCCTGCTTATGATAATTATCACGCAAACGCCTTCAAAACCGAAGCGTTTCAGAAACTTGACAAGGAAAATAAGGATATTCTGGAATACGTGTCTAAACACACTGGTGATAATTATACAACTTTATTTAGTACTTGGCTACTTTATGACTGTTTGAGAGTTGAACTTGAGGCTGGTTATAAATTGCCTGATTGGGTACCGCCTGTTTATGAGAAACTGCAAGATATAATTGGACTTTTATATCAAACTACGACAGGCACTACACAGGCTAAGAGATTATGTAAGTATTTTTAACAAACTGTCAATACTATATTGTTCAAAGGTAATAAAATGATAATTCCTTGCCAGTTGTACACTATCCTGCTACCAAATTTTAATTAGTTTTTAAAATTTATAAAATTAAAATGACAGCGTCATCAAATATTTATTTAATTTTTGACATATATGTATTATTATATCTTTACAATAGAACCAGAATATATTAAGTCCACTTTTTTTTCAAAAAGTACATTTTTCATGTTTCCTTATAAAGATTTTGCGCTCTTTCCAGTGGTACATAAAATAAAGTCCTAATCGGTTTATTTTACAAAATAGAGACAATAAAATAATTTTAAGCCGACATTTGTTCTGAGCCAGATGGTACTTTGGGTCGTTAATATTGTACAGCTCCAACATATTAAGTATATCAATCTGCTTCATATAGTATTAAGTCCTATAATATTGTATGGTCCTGAATAATATTATAATATCTACTGTTTATAATATTAGGTCCATCACAACAGAGCTCTTAATACAGCGCTTACGATTTGTACGTGTCGACACTTGTTCGTTTAGTTTGGTATTCATATTCTTTTGTCAAGTTGATTCCAAGGAGACGAAATGTTGTGTTTGCGTTTAGTGCTTTCTAGGGACTGGCAACAAATAAAAAGATTGTGCTGCACCAAATCAAATCTAGAAGAAGAACTGGAAGATTTTAAAAACTTATGATAATGCTCGTTCCCATTTATTCAAAATAAAAAAAAATTAAACGAGAACTAAAACCAACTTTTTTATTTCCAAAGTCATTTGTATGCAATTTAAACAAGATTGTCCTGGAAAAATGTTCTTTAAATGTGAGAAATGTGATAGATAAAGACTTTTAGAAAATAGACTTCAATAAAAAATCGTCACAAAGAAAAATCAGAATCATTTACTGAATTTAGAAGTAATGCGGTCTACTTTACGACCAGTAACTAAAAAAAATTACGACGACCTACAAAAACTGTTAATATGGATTCCTAAAACGTTTTATTCTTTTGCGCCATAATAAGTGTCAAAAGATTTCTCTTTTCATTATTAGCAATTCGTTTTGATGACCAAAACACTAGGGAACATCGTATAAACAACGGCGATAAACAAATGTAAAAATAATTACACATTCAGTAAATATGTTATAGTAGATGAGATGCTAGTTGGCTCTCGTGCCAGAAGTTCTTTTAGACAATATATCAATAGTAAACCTCGAAAATACGATATCAAAATTATGTGCCTCTGTGATGCCAAAAACCATTACTTGCATAATGGTTTCGTTTACGTGGGAAAAGAACCTCTTCGCCAAAAGAGAAGTTATCTGTACCTACATGCTGCGTTATTCGATTGGCTGAACCCAAACTGAAAACAAATCGAAATATCAGGAGACAACTGGTTCTCTCTATCGAACTATTTAAAGAATTGCTCGAAAATGGTTTGACTTAGGTTGACAGAATTAGAAACAACGAGGGTGAGCTTCCAAAAGAGTTTTTGCCAAATAAAACAAGGGAATAAGGATCTCCAGAGTTTGGATTTACAAGAGACAAAGCTTTAGTATCATTTGTACCCAAAAAACTGTTGTTTTGGTCTATTCCTTGCATTACGATTGAACTATTGGCGATAGCGGCAAACCTAAAATAATTGAAATGTATAATTCAACTAAATCAGGAGTGGACTCTCTTGGCCAGATGGTGCAGTGTTCTATGCAATGCCCGACATTTCATGTTTTGTTGAAAAGTGGTAGTGATCAAAAAAATTACAATATTACTAGACAGAGAACTTATAAAGCAGCATTTGGAGAGAAGTAAATTAATAACAACACTTTCCACGGAACTAAAAACTTTAATTCAAAAGGTACTTGGTGAAAATTATAGGGAAAATACTTCTTTAAGAAATACAGATATAGCAGGACCTGCACCAAAACAGAGGAGGTGTAGCTTTTGTCCCAGGGCAAGGGATAGAAAAGTAAATACTTGTTGTCAAGAATGCCAAAAAGCAATTTGTAGGGATCATTCGGTTACCAAATGTGTTTGCAGGAGTGTTATAAAAAGTAAGTTAGTGTGAAACCAATAAAATGTACAAAAAAAAATTGCTTGTCAGATTTTCCACCATGACAATAATGCTTTTTTTTTTTGTTACATAAAATAACAAAGTGCCTTAAAAACGGGGATCTCAAACAAGAAAGTCGCTCGAAAGTTGCACAACAATTTTTTTTAATGTTTTTCTATAACTTAATTTTTTTGGCATTAAAATGCATTTTTTGTTGATTTTGAAACCAAAATAATAAAATTTAGTTTTTTCTATAAAAATTGTATTTTAATGTATCAATAAACCAATCCTAACCAAAACATCAACATATTTTGGCATATTCTAGTAAAATTATATTATTTTTATATGAGGGTGCCCAAACACCCCAGGATACCAGTTACGTACCTGTAACACAACAATACCAGTTGAGGGTTAAATAATTTTGTTTGTGTTACCTTTTCCATAAATAAAATATTTATAAAAAATTACTATTATTGATCTCTTGTATTTTTTTATCATTAAAGTGTTGAAATTATTTTGGACTAAATTTTGGACTAAATACTAGTTAAATCAATACTTCAGGATTAGACAACTATAAGTCCAGGAATTATTTTACTTAACTTTCACCTTAATACTCGTTGAAAAAATACCTACGAGCCATATGATCTCATGTTCAGTTTTACTATATTAAGTCACAATTTTAGATAGATAGATGAAGTTGAATTAAGTCCATTCTTGACAGCAGCTTTTAATATTAGGTCACCTAAATATTAAGTCCATGTTGGGAGGAAAATGGTATTAACTACAAGTTTATTAATTAGTTGAAAAATGCATAATTGCTATTTAAGACTATTTTCTAAAAATAGATATATAATGTGCTTTTTGCTCTATCGAAAAAATTAGGTCAATATGTCTAGTAGTTTAAAAGTTATAACATCTAGGTACCTTTGTGTTACTCTTCTGTAAAATTTGCAAAATGTGATTTACGGCAATTTTGTTTTGGGGTACAGATATACATAGGTCAAAAAAGTAACTATTTTATTTATTTATTAATAAAACTGGCAACTTTTTTACAGGAATAGTATAATTGATACAATAAGACCTACACAGTTATATATTGGTCTTTTAATAATATTTTTAAATCCACAATAAACCGGGTTGGAAATTGTTTATATTTAATTGTATTTTAAATGGAACAGTTGCATTAAATATATATTATTAATGTTTTCGTAAAAAACTTTCAAATCAGTATTACTATCTTTATCCTTCATGACATTTTAGCAAAGTTTATTTTTATAAACTTCGATATATTAATTCGAAATTAACTTTTCTGAAGTTTTGTTTTTATTATTAAGTGACTAGCTTTTCGAGTTTGTGCCTCACTTTAAAACGACAATGTCTACTGGGTGAGATTGATCTAAATGTACGAAGGAAGTGGTTTTTTTAACCTCACAACTGTCTATATTTTGCCGGATTCCTATTATAATGTGATTGAATCAGGCTCAGAGTATGTTTATTCATTGAATGGATTTAGTAGCTATAGAATTGTCAACTTAGAAGCTCCCTAGAAGCTCTGAAACTTTTTGATTTATTTTACCTTTCCTTGGATTTACCAAGGGAACGTTCTTTAATTATGTTCGTCTAGATCGATGTTGTTTCTGTTTCAGTGGCAGCTCGTGGCCAAGCAATTGGGGGTCTCTGTGCATATTTTGGTAAAAGGCTTTCTTTGTTTTGGAAAGGTGTATTATTAAAACTGAAAGTTTTTTACCTAAATCTGTACTGAGATCTATATTCTGTCATTGTGAACCTGAATTTTTTGCTCACAAGCCGCCACTGTTCTGTTCAAATAATTTTCCTGTCCCTAAAAATAGTTTATAATCGTTACATGACTATTGATGATGTTTTGTCCACTCAACACGCCTATTCATTCCAAAAGCAAATACTGCACCTTATATAACCTAGTCAAATTATTCTACGATATAAATCCGATTATGTTTAACCTACCTAATTAAAAAATTAAGTCTTAACAATCTCATTACTTATCCATACCACAGCAGTTGTCTTGTTCCATTTCTATTAATTTTATTTAGTATATATTTTATACTTATCCTTGATACCAACTTTTTCTCCTTCTTTCCTATTTATTTTTTCCTTCTAATACCAAATCTAACAAAATTGCTTAGATACCCCGACAAGTACCATTATAAAATCTGAATCTGGATCCAATTTGTCTGGTGTAAATCATTAACAAATACATATTTTTTTATTATTATTATTGTTATTATTATTATTATTATTATTATTATTATTATTATTATTATTATTATTATTATTAATTATTATTATTATTATTATTATTATTATTATTATTATTATTATTATTATTATTATTATTATTATTATTATTATTATTATTATTATTATTATTATTATTATTATTATTATTATTATTATTATTATTATTATTATTATTATTATTATTATTATTATTATTATTTTTTTTTTTTTTTAATTTGGTGTCATCGGCGTCGACTACTACGGCCATTAGCCTCGTGTTCTGTGTAGGCTTTGTTACTGTTTCCCAGCGCCACTTTAGGAACAGCACTGTTAATTAGAACCCAACAGTGAATGGTCGAGTGGGGAATCCTACCTATGCATTAGAATTAATATTTAATTTTTTAAATTAAATAAAAATTCCTGCCACCGGTGGGATTCGATCCTGAGACCTTCCGATCTCAGAGTCATGACTCTAACCACTGAGCCAACCCACCATTATTATTATTATTATTATTATTATTATTATTATTATTATTATTATTATTATTATTATTATTATTATTATTATTATTATTATTATTATTATTATTATTATTATTATTATTATTATTATTATTATTATTATTATTATTATTATTATTATTATTATTATTATTATTATTATTATTATTATTATTATTATTATTATTATTATTATTATTATTATTATTATTATTATTATTATTATTATTATTATTATTATTATTATTATTATTATTATTATTATTATTATTATTATTATTATTATTATTATTATTATTATTATTATTATTATTATTATTATTATTATTATTATTATTATTATTATTATTATTATTATTATTATTATTATTATTATTATTATTATTATTATTATTATTATTATTATTATTATTATTATTATTATTATTATTATTATTATTATTATTATTATTATTATTATTATTATTATTATTATTATTATTATTATTATTATTATTATTATTATTATTATTATTATTATTATTATTATTATTATTATTATTATTATTATTATTATTATTATTATTATTATTATTATTATTATTATTATTATTATTATTATTATTATTATTATTATTATTATTATTATTATTATTATTATTATTATTATTATTATTATTATTATTATTATTATTATTATTATTATTATTATTATTATTATTATTATTATTATTATTATTATTATTATTATTATTATTAATATTATTATTATTATTATTATTATTATTATTATTTTTATTATTATTATTATTATTATTATTATTATTATCATCATCATCACTGATTTGAAATAATTTTTAGATACTGGTACTTTCCTAAACTACGTAGTGGACTATTTTGAAAAGATGGCGTCCAACTCATCATACTCTCAAAAATTCCAAGTTTTCAGCGGCCATGACACTGACACTAACATAGCAGCAATTTTAAATAGTTTTGGAGCTTTTGATCCTCCCTATCCACCTGCTTTTGCCAGTTCGATTTGGATAGAATTGAAACGAAATAAAGGAAGATATTATGTTAATGTTTGGAGTAAGGACGGAAGTAATTTAAGACAGATCAAGGTTAACGGATGTGCTCGTAATTGCCCACTACATGCATTTAGAAAGAAACTGAGCGATATTTTGTTAGATCCAGATACTTTAACCCAAGAGTGTAGTGACATCTCGTAGCATTACTACTGATGCAATATTATTTTCTGGTTAATAACAGCTGACTAAAAGAGTTTATTTATTTTTATATTTTATTTTTAAAATCACTTTGTATTATAGTATTTTTTTATAAATTTGTGTAACGCTAGAAGCCAATTTTATTTCTTAAATTATTATAAAATAAATTTTATAAATAAACAAAATAATAATTAATTTCTATATATTATACATTTTTCTCTACAACATTTATCCGATTCCGCATTATTATTTATTATATTTTACATTATTTTTGCTTCACTAATTTTTGACGTGCAAGTAAATTAAAAAGGCAGGTATGATATAAATAAGAAAGTAATATTAGACGCAGTAACAAACAATCAAAACAATCTGAAAAATAATCACTAATGGACGCTGGTAATTTAAATTTAAAGGATGCGTTCAGGTCCTGGTACAATCCTTTTTTTCTATTATACACATAAACCTGTAGCAAGTTAGACTTTTAGTTATAATGTATAGTGAGAGTTTAGTCGTTGTATGTGTTAACTATGAAGACTAGATATAAGGAGGCGAATCGACAATGATCAAATTTCAAATTTCTCTCTTTTTTTTATAAAGTTCGCTAAATTGTCTGTAGTTGGCAGGTCGAACGTCACTGACGTTCATTTTATATATAAGTCAATGCATAATGAAGTGGTTTTTTAAAAAAAGGTTAAAAGAATCAAAATAATGTGAAAAAAGTACCTGAGTACATGTAACATCAGTGACAAAAAATATTAAAGCAAGATTTACTTCGTTCTACATTGTAAAACAGAATACAAATCACTAGTAAAAGTAAAGAAAACACAAGGAGAAATCAATTCAATGTCTTTTTAAAGCTTCTAATGTAAGTAAAATAATGTATTTATCTCTAAATATAATATTTATTTTAAACTAGTCACAACACGTGGCACGGAGTGTAGTTTATTTTACTACAAGTTTCTATAAAATAAAATTTTACAGTCGTGACTTACAGACAACAATAATTATAAATTAAATTTAACTTACCTAAAAAAAAAAATAGTTTTTTTATAGTTTTAACGTTAGATAAAGAGTTGCTACTATTATTTTTTGTTGAATCCCATATTTTTCATTGTAAATGTTTTTTATAGGGCCTTAAACGCTTAGAACAGTGGTAGCACATATATCGTTCCTAGGGCCGATAAAACACTTTCTACAGATGATGCTGTTCTACACTTTTTAGAAAATACTATGCGGTTTACCTTTTTCCAAGTTTTCCCACCGATTATTTCTAGTAAATAAAAATTTTAATTTTAAATTTTAAATCAATACTGGAGCTGAAGTTTCAGTTCTTCCAAATAAATTATTTAAAGTTTATACATCTGATGATTTTAACTGCTGCTAATGGGACAATCATAAAAACTTTTGGTAGTAAATTATTAAAAATAAATTTTGGCCTCAAGCGCGTTTTCACATTTTTCTTTGTTTTAGCTAATGTTTCTCGCCCCATTATATTATTTACTAAATAAGTTTAGTTTATTAGTGGATATTAAAAATAGAAAATCGTTAGACAGTTCCACATCGTTGACATGGTTGTTTGATCAAATTAAATTCACCTTCTCTAAAATTTTTTTTTATGATTTTGTTTATGATAGCTTTAGTACAATTCTCAATTTCTATCCATCAATCACATTTCCTCCTGATTATGCACTCCCTGTCAAACAAAACACACAACACCACATCATAACCAAAGAAAAACTACCTTTAAGCAAACCAAGTCGACTAGATACACAGAAACATAACATTACAAAGACAGAGTACAATTAGGAATTTGTCGCCCATCTTCATCGCCTGTTACTTTACCTTTACATATGGTTCCTAAAAAAAAATAGCTACTATTGGAGGCCATGTGGAGATTATAGGAGACAACAGTATAACAGTACCAGCTGGATACCCTCTACCACACATTCAAAGTTTCAATTTACATGTTTGCGGTTGCACAATATTTTCAAAAATTGACTTAGTTCGAGCATATCACCAAATTCCTATCGCCAAAGAAGACATCCACAAAACTGCAATTCTTTGAATTTTCACGCATGCCTTTTGGCCTCCGAAACGCAGCTCAAACGGTTTAGCGTTTTATTAATGATATAGTATTTGGTATAGATTTTGTTTTTTCGTACTTGGATGATCTATTAATCTTTAGTAAAAATCAAACAGAACACGAACATCATCTTAAAGCTGTATTCAAAAGATTGGATTGATATGACTTGAATATAAAACCGACAAAATGCGAATTCGGTGATGAATCTATAAATTTCCTTAGCCACCATATATCTAAAGATGTTATTTTACCTTCTGAAGATAGAGTTAAGGTGATAAAAGATTTCCCAAAACCTTAATAAGTGAAACAGTTGCAACGATTTATTAGAATTATACATTACTATTATCGTTTTATTCCAAAACTATTAAATATTTTTATTTAATTTAAAATTTCATCTAAAACCTTATCTTTATTAACAGTTGGCCAGTTATCTTTGTAAAATTCAAGTACGTCTTCTCATTCCGAAAGATACTACTTTAATTTGACAAGATCATTCATCTGTTAATAGGTATTTTTCCAACACAAGCATTTTTGACAGGAAGAGTCAAAGGTTGTGTTGATGTATTTCGAAATGTATCACAAGCAGTCCATTTATAGAAGATTTAGTCAAAAGAACTCCTTCATTAAAAAAAAAACAATTTTTAAATGCACATACTGACTTGTTTTATCTTTTTATCATGTGATACTGCTTGTTGAATTATATTCAACATTGCGCTAAGCTTTTATTCTCAATTCTTTATTATTTCTGGAGACGTATCTGCAAGCCGCACTGCCTTTTACTCCTGCGGCACTGCCTGGGGCGATAAGAATGGTCTTTCGTCTAATAGCTACATCGCAGGCGTCATTTACTCCTTGTCCACTTCTCATTGGTCATTTATACCCGGCAATCGCTCTCATTGATTAAAAACATCGGCGTTAGGCACTTCCTAATTGGTCAACGTCGAAAGTCACTCTCAATCTAGCTGAACAACTTTTCTCCCGGCAGAGCTTCAGTACCTCTCAAACACAACACATCGTTCTGCACTGTTTAAGAGTGCTTGAGTAACAAATTTCCGAAGAAAAGTCTGTGTATAGTATAAAAAGTATGTGGTTTGTAAATGAACCATGTAATAAAATTGACGGTTTCAATAGTGTTTTAAAACAAAGTATGTAATTGGAAAGTGATGTTTTCACCCAAGCATTAATCCTTCCATTCCTACGGATCGCACAGGTATTTCCAACATAATTTCGCTCAATCTGCGACAGCTGATTGTATTAGCTCGGTTACCGTGTGTATTAGAGAAACACCCAGTAGTCAGCGACTTATGGGGTTTCTCAAGTAAAGCAGATTTTGCCGTTTGAAAATTTATTATAAGAAGTGCTACGACTAATGGGATTTTGCGTTGGAATGTGCATTGAAGTGTTAGCAATAAAAATCTGCCATTTTTGGAATATGTCAAATTTGTGACATACAGGCTTTCTCAAATGACCGATTCATTTGTCTTATACTCACATACTCACATTTTTTATTTCGTATTCTCCCATCAGTTTTTCCTGAGTCTGATTCGCTTGCTCCTCAGTCAGTTTTTCCTTGGGAAATTATTTAGGTACTACCGCCATTTTCATGGGTGTTAGTGCCTCTTTATAGGACAAGCCACCTTTTACCGCTTGCGCTGCAGATTTTGCCCTTGCTCTATCAGACTCCATTTTAGGCTTCTTGGAGTGACCTCTTACCGTGACCTCCATTGAAGACGGACTGTCACTTTGGAGGCGACCCCGTTTGAGTTGGGGAGTTTGATTTGGATTTCGGTTGGCTCCTTTCTTCTCCGTGCTTCTCTTAGCTCTGGGTCTAATTGGTTTTCCTTTAGCCTTAGCCTTTTGAATTACCAATTTTTTCCTCTTTTGGGTGCCTGAGAATCACTCATGCGGCTCCAGGTAAGTCCTGTTGAGTTTTGAGGCAACTCGTTTCAGGCTAGTTTCTTCCTTGGGGTTTGTGGAACTGCCATTTACCTCCGAAGGTTGTTCCGCCTGAGGGCGTTGTCCAGAGGTTGATGGAGACGAAGTTAATTCTTCTGGAATCGCTTCGGTTTCCATTATCTCAGTTGCTTGCTGTGAAAGGGTTTCTCCTTCTGGGAGTTCCCTGTTCGAGGTTGTCTTTGGGTTATTTTCTACCATATTGGTTCCACGAGTAGCTAGGAAAATAGATGTCCACCCGATCAGAGCCCCGCATGACCGGGTAAGGCTAGATACAAGAGGATTTCACCACGTGCTCCCAGAGGAACGTTCGCAACCGCTCTCCCAGCGGTCATTTAGCTTTCAGCACATTGCCTTACACTTTAGCTTGGGTTATTGATGGAGTGCCATTTAGTTAGTTAATAGTGCTGTTCCTAGAGCAGCAATATTATCATATCCAGCGGTGCCACGAGGAGGAAGACATTCGATGATTGTATTTCTCGACTGGCATGCAGAAAGAGTTACCTACAAGCAGACAAGCAAACAAGCAAGCAATCTAACCTACAAAGCAATAGCTAAACTACAACCAACCCTGCCTAAAACTAATGGTAATTAAAGTATAACATTCAACGAATATTGTGTGAAATTTTCCTGAAGAAATATTAAAAAAATACGGAAATGGCAGCAATTATTCCGAAGCGTCTCGGAAAAAAGTAGAATTGCGGTGCCCCTCCTAGATTAGATTAGATTTAATTAGGACTGTGGGTCATGTGGCCTCCCCCATCTTGACCTTTTCAGATCTATTGTAGATATCCTTTAATCGTTGTTTAGAGTACGTTGTCTAATTTAGTCTTTTGTAGCAGACTCCATAGACTGGGAAGTACTTCTCCGATATAGCTAGTTGCTCTTGGTTTTTCTTCTCCAAGTGTAAGAAATCTCAGTCTTGCTGGACCTTTGCAGTAGCACAATACGTGTTCTGCCGTTGCCTCCTCGTCCTGATAGAATCGACACAAGGTCGCTTCTGTCTGACCGATATTATACCTATGTTTGTTAAGCCTACAATGCCCTTTTAATAGACCTACTTGTACTTCAATATTTTCCTATTAAGGCTTAGTAGATGCTCGATGAGTTTAGGTGATGGTCCTTTTAAGAACTCTTTAGCCTTTCTCTGTCCTGGAAAGTTTTTCCACCACTCCTGAGA